GAATTTTTTTTCTTCTTTTATGTGTTAAGCATATATGTAAGGATATTGTTTATTGTCCTTATAGAAAACAAGTTCTAAATCAAAACATACTTTCACCTCTTGATGAAATTATGTTCACACAAAGTTAATTTCCAGAGCTTTTAATTGTATCTCACAGTCTTCATCACACCAATTTTGGAAGAATTAGTTAAGAAATTACCAGGGTGTATCCTCTGGGCACCATGAACATCTCTATCATAATTAATGACAATCCATCCAAAAGTGCTTGATGTATTTCCTTAAAAAACTAAAAGGAGGAACCCGTTAGGAAAGGTTCAGTTCCATCCTCTAGGAGCCATGGGTAGGATTTAGATTACCACCTCTGGAACCATGCACGCTAAAAATGTTGAATATTAAAAATATATTCAGGATGAGGATGGGGTAGCACGTTGCACTTTTTCTTCTTTCTTTTTTTTTTTTTTTTGCTAAGAAACATCATCATTTATACTGTATTTTGTTCCTTGTCTTAAAGATTCACTCTCCATGTGGAGCAACAGTTGCCAGCTTTCTACCGGAGCTGGTGCTACTGGCGGCGGCTGTGATATAAGTCAGCCAATCACATGTCACGCTCTGCTCAGTCTGCAGAGAGCTCACAAAACCTGCAAGATTTTTTTGCACTATTTTCTCTCCATTACCATTTTGATCAGACTGTCAGTTTAGGCCTTGTATTTTCAGCTCGACTCCAATCCTCCTCCTCCTCCACCTCCTCCTCCTCCTCCTCCCTCCATCCCCTAGGCAGTGTCGTGGGCATAAAAAGCAGCCTGTTGAGCAGCCATCAGTCTGCTGGCATTTGATCAATGCCCAGGTCCCTTTGTGCTGCTAAGCGACAGATAAAAGAAGCAGTTATCAGCTCCACAACATCAGCCGCAGATAGCTTCGTGGCAGCGGCAGAGCGGGGCCGGTGCGGGGCTGAGTAGAGGGGGGGGTCACACTTCAGCAAAGTATCGAGGGGAGGGATTGGAGGGGGAGGAGAAGGGGGTGAGGACGTGGCAGCGAACCGTAGGTCAATGCCTTGATACAAGGTTTTACAGCTGTCACCAGCCCTCTGGAGAGAAACACAGGGTGGAGGAGATGAGGAGATGAGGGCATGGACAAAAAATAAAAGGCAGTCAGAGATTATGAGGGAGAAACATTGTAAGAGCCGACCTGAACCTGCAGGAGAGGGAATTGGACTCTGTTGTCTGGTTGAACTATGCGCTGTTGCCTTTGACTGCAGAGAGCACGCTGCCAAAAAACAAGGCAGCAGGCGACGCACATCCACAATCCAACAGAAACACACACGAGACGCAAATATATGCTCCTGCATTACAGAGTATTCATCTGTCTGAATGATGTGTCTATCTTACCACCAGATGAACATGACACAACACAATCTCCAGTTCTGCCAATACTCATTGTCTCCAGCCCCATAAAACACTGCCCTCTCCGCTTTGGAGAGTCAATAAGCAGCAGTGGTTGGTACGTTTGGAACATCTCTTCTCACAAAGACTTTGTTGACAAATTTGTCAACACCTTCCTCTGTTTGAAGGAGACAAATATATTCAATTTATGGCAGCGCTTTGACTAAAGCAAACAGAAAAGTTTATACTTGTAAACAGCCTAATGGATTGAAGTGTCCAATTCTGCAAAGCGACGGATGGTACAAATGAGCGTCGCTGCAGAACAAAACCAATTCTGAAGCAGTGCGTGACAAGCAGAGTAATGACACGATGCTCACAGGGCTTTCTTTTTTGATGTGGATTACTGGGAGCGACAAAGAAAACAATGGAACGACAAAAAGCTGACAAGACTGCGGATATCAGCTGCTATTAAAGACCCCGAAGCGCCGACAGAAATAGTCTCTCTCTACCCTAATTTACTCAGGATGGGAGGTGAGGAGAAAGTTTTGAAAATTGTTTCAAAGATGTCGTCTTATTTAAAGTTCAGGTTCAGGATTGTACCAGAAAATATTTAGAGAGGAAATCGGAGTGGAAGGCAAATAGTCTCAAATTAGGGACGGATGCAAGGTGGACAGCCGTCTGCAGCCCAGACACATTTTAAAGGAAGTTCAAGATCAGTGCCACACTCAGAAACACGTCATTATAGACATGGACATGGAAATCTGGATATTTTCCTGAAAATGCAGGAAAAGGCTGTACATGAGAATGCAAAAGCTCCAGACATATCTTGAAACACTTCCTGCTGGCTCTCTGGTAACATTTCCAGAAAATGTCCTGGTGAGAATACGTGAGAATACAGCAGACAGACCCAAAACTGAAAAAAAATACTACCATGTACTTCCTCTCCCCTTCACTTGAAGGAAATATTGTACTTTCTGCTCCACTAAGTTTTCTGACTACTTTTAAGACACATGTTTTACAAAGTGGGTAAAACTACTTTCCAACCTGTTTGGATTCTGACATCTTACAAAAATACAAATTGTTTGATCAGGTAGTGTTTTATTGTGACGCAGACATGTAGTATAACAATGATCATTCACCATGTGTGTTTACAAATAAGTGAACAACCACATGCAAAATCAACTGGGATTAAAATATACAGCATATAGCTTCAAGTATATCCACAAAATGTACCAAGAAATTAAAAGTAAATAGTACTCGATATTATATTATCGTGTACTGTAACAATACTGTATAAATTGTAACAGATGAGTTCATTTGTAGCCTGACCAGTGTTTCAATGTTGTAGCTCATCAGGGAAATACTTTGTGTACTGCTGGGTACTTGATTATTCATTGTATTGTTCAGTGTATTTAATATGATACTAATTAATTTGATATGTATTTAATATAGTATTCATTTGATATGATATTTATTTGATATTATATTCATTTGACATATGTATTTAATATTTTTTTTGATATATGTATTTAAAATCTTGAACAGAAAATCCATTCCCTGAAAAAGCATATATACAGAGAAGTCACCTAAAGTGTTGAAAGTGCATGTAAAGTATATAAGCGTACATGTAGAGTAGAGACATATAGATCATATATATAGATATGCATCGAATAAAGAAAAACACAATAATAATACAATTTGAATAAAATGAAGGAAACAAAAGTAGGCAAGTGATATAAAAAGCTGGGGAACTTAAGTTTATAAAAGAGGATTGGTTAAAATGGTAAAAAAAAGTGGGATCAGCCACTTCCACCTGGCTGGTCACTGCCACTTCACGTCACTTCCTCCTTTACTTTCCTCCTCCCATAAAGACGACGCCAATCCCGCGACAGCGTGGCCCGCTGTGGAGGAAACATCATCCAGAGCTGCAGCGTGGGTCCGCTGCTCCAGCTGCTCCAGCTGCTGCTCTCTCAGGTAGGAGATCTGCAGACTGTCTCACGTGCAAACACCTGCCGCTGCTGCGCGACACGCGAGGATCTCACCTGTAGAGACGTGTGTGTGTGTGTGTGTGTGTGTGTGTGTGTGTGTGTGTGTGTGTGTGTGTGTGTTCTCTACCTTGATTAGTTCTTAGTATTTGCAGTGCAGTTTCTTTGTTTTTAGTCTGTCCTCAAGGTAACTACAAGTCTCACATGGTATTTTCCGCTCACTGGTCCATTGAAAGAGGCAGAGGGAAGATAATTATATCTATGACAACCATAAATACAATTAGGCTAATAACTAGTCATGGAGAGTAACACAGTACCTTTACTTGCTTGATAATTTTTTAGCTAACTGTAATTGTACCCCTCGTCCATACGAGGGAAATTATCTGTAGCCTACAATGTGAAAGAAATTTGTCAGTGATGCAGCTGACATCATCAGCTCAACTGAAATTTTGATATGCAAAAACAATATGAGAAATCTTTGCATTAGCAGAATATTAAATACTTGGAGTAGATGTACACTCTTAAATGTACTGTTACTTAAGTAAGAAATGATGCAAATTGAATTTAAAGTATTTCCCACTAACAATATTTCAGAGAAAACGGCAATAATTACATTTCCTCCCCCATTTGAAACCATTATATTCACAGTTGTACTTTTAATCTTGTTTCAGCAGCGTCTCCCACACATAGTGGGTGTCCAATATGACAGTTTGGGAGAATGTCTCCTCCTTTTTCTAAGATCTGCTGTGATTGACTCTGCATGAGTGGGAGAAGGCCTGAGGGAAGTTGGGGGGGTGAAGAGATAGGGGGTACGGACAGGAGGGTTTGTGTGTGTTGATTGGTACGAAGGAGGGTCTCTAAGTAGTAAAGGTCTGTCCGCTCCCTGGAGGGGAGAGTACTCGGTGTCAATAGGTGCCCACACAGCCACAAACACTTTTTACTCCTCAGTCTTCTCAAGCTGCTGGTCGGTGAGAGAAGCAAGAAAACCCACTGTGATGCGTCTGCCTTCACACAGCTTATGTTTCTGCTCTTGCCTCCTGCTTGTCTTTGTCTGCCACTTTCATTCTCTTTGTCTCTTACCTCTTGTTGTCCTTGTCTGTTTTTTTTCTTCCTCAATATTAAATGGCCTCGTTTTTGTGTGTCCATGCTTGCGTGGTTCGCGATTCAAGATTGCCTTATTTGTCCCAATTACACAGACAATTAAAGTGAGGTGACCGACATTCACAGTGCGTTCACAGACTTAATGAATTAAGACTAAGTGTAGACATAAACCGCACTCTCACTTCCCTCCCTCCTTATTCCTGCAGTTGTAAAGACTGAATGGAGGCGGTTTGTACCTGATGGAGGCAGTTTAAACGCAGGACAGGAGGGGGCCGCAGATAATTTTTACAAGCCTGTTTAGGAAGAACTGTTTGTGTGTGTTTTCCCCTCTTAAACGTAGAAGGACGGCGTCGTTAACTGTGTATAGTGAAATGTAACTGTCTACTGCTGCCTGAGAGCACAGACGGAGGAAGGTGTGACAGGGCACGAGCAGAGAGAGGTCAAAGAGAGGGAATGGTGAAGGCTCACAGTTTGTCGTGCTTTTTAATATACTTTTACCAATCGAATGTATTCCCTAATGCAACAGTCCACTACATCATCATGGCTGAGTCTCAGTAGAAGGGTTGGGTATTGTTTTTTCTGATACTAGTGCTAAATCAATACTTGCCAGAACAGATACTTTTCTTAAAAAGGAACCAAACAATGGTCAGAGATAAGAGCAGCTTTTTTTGGAAGTTGATTTAACATATTAACTGTTAACAGCATAAATAAGTTAAATAAACAAATAGAAATAAATGCAAAACGTCTATTTACATAAACACAATAAATGAAATTTAACATATCTCAACTACAATTATTGAACACTACAGAAAATGATAATCCCCTGACCAATAACAGTCTCTGATGAAAAATAAAGAGGATAGACAAAAGGAGATGTCAATATATAACTTCAACTTTCTTTGGTTAAGTTAGAACGTCTGTTAGGATGGTTCCTTGCTCATATTTAACACAGTAGGGATCAGCTGTGATTATGAATAAATACAGTATACCATATAGCAGTTATCAGGCATGAACTCTGGAGAAATATCCGCACAATGGGGTCCGGACTTTCTCAGGAGTTTCACCCATGAACGAAGCAGCAGGAGATTCTCTGGTCTGAAGCGTTTACAATAACACAGAAATCTCTGTGTGTTCAGATGAGAGGTGCTGCAGCATGCGGGAGGTAGCACGTAATGTATACATCTGCTGCCGAGATAATGTGATGTCGTGTTTGTGTTTCCAGCACATCAACACAGTGTTTACAAGTGTTCGATAAGTTGTATATAAATGTAGATAAATGACCAGAGCAGTTTGCACATAAGAAACCTCAATGCTCTCAAATTGCCTGAAAAATGCTGCCTCACACAATCACAGACTATTTAGCATTTTGTTATTCCGCTTTTCCTCCTCAGTCTGTTTCCTCTCGTCGATACCGCGGGGCTTCCAGACTGTAGACTTTGCTGTCCAGAGGGCTTGTTTGTAGCTTGTTGTCAGGTTAGAATGATCATTTAAGTGAAGGAAAAGAGGGTGAGAAAGTACATGCTGCACAGAAAGTGTCAGCTGTGTGCGTTTGGGGAGACAACTCTCTCAGACCACGAGGAGGCCTGCAGGCTAAGAAAAACAAGTCGGGGTGATGCTGGGTTAAGGCAGGTTTTGGTTTGTGTGTCTGTGTGTGTTTGTGTGTGTGTGTGTGTGTGTGTGTGTCTCTCTCTGTCTGCTGCCTTGTTTGCAGGCCACACATCAGGCGGCAGATGGCTAGAAACACTGCAAACCAAGGCGATTGACAGGCTCTATCTTGTGTCTGCGAGCTCCCATCCACCACTTGTCCACCATGTGACACGGCCTGTCACACCACTTTGTCACGGGGGGGGGGGGGTGTAGTAACACACGTCCACGTGCAAACACACATACACACACCCTCCATTTCAACTTTTTAGATCAGAGTGCGAGAGAGGGAGGTGCAGGGGGAGACGCAGAAAGACAGATAAAGTCAGAGGGGGAGAGAAATGTATTTCTTATTCACAGGGGAGAAAAATGAAGTGTTGTTCAAGGATCTGAGGGCCATTTAGAAGAAAGAGCCACCTCAAAAATCAGCTGCTTTCTATTCATGAACTGAACTCGAAACTCCCAATGTGAAGGGCAGAATGGAAAGTGCACAGCTGCTTACTGACTTAAAGGGATTCTTAATTTGGAGGTCTGCTATTATAGTGTCTCTCACACACTCGAGCATCAAAACACACCAGTGCCGCTCCCTCTCTGCCTGCTTTTCTGTGTTCTTGCCAAAAGTAATTCAAGACTGCCATTGGAGAAGCTTGTGTGTGTGTACATCTTAATGTTTCTGACAGCATAGCTTTCTTATCCAAAAGCGCAGCCCACTGAAAGTCAAGTGTTAACAACGCCGTTGTGCTTGTAAAAATCGCTCGTTTTTAATGCCAGACAAATGCAGCGCCACTCAAACCAAAGGCTTATTTCAAAAGACTTGCTTCATAAATTGTGTTGTATGCTAAAGGGCAAAAAAGTTTTTAAGTCGTCATTTTAGATGGGCTGAGTCATTTTCTGGCAGCACCGGGAGCTTAGAGTGAAAGCTGCACAGTTCATAAGTAAACAAATGTCAAGCCTAATGATTTTAAATGAGGGGAAAATAGCTTTCTGTGGGACAACAGATTGGATGCTTGAGGTCGAATGATTGCAATAAAATAAAGCTCAGCCGAAGTTGGAGGGTTTGATGTTGGTAAAAGTTGACTTTCTTTACTAAAAGGGTTTTAATGAGTTCAAACTACACTTAACTAGTGGGTTGATGTCCTAGTGCTGATTGCAAGTAATACATACTTTGTTAAAGTGTTGACTGTCATTTTTAAGCTTGTTGTCAGTGGAGGTGCTGTATCTACCGACTGAGTCCACAAATGTCTGTCTGTATGTGGAACGCACATCTTGAGAACCATCCATCTTATCAGCTTAACACTTGGCATGTATTTTGGTAATTGCCCAGGGAAGTGCTGTCAAATTTGGTGCAATCTGGACACATGATACATTCAATATTAATAAATCTGTTGAAGTTGGTGGGTGCCTTCATTCGGTGAACACTTCGTCTTCTACGTATAAACTACAGCCGTGGTCCACAAATACTGGATCAAATTCGCTGCTGTATTATAAGTAGTGAAGACTAACATAGAGATTCATGGGATTTACAGGTGCTGAGCTCTGCCATGGCAACGCCATTCAAAGAATCACTTCCTTTATATAGAGCTAAATTAGCGAGCTTTCATTTTGAAAAGGTGTGAACTTGGGTCTGAAGATTGTATTGACATGCAATGTATGAAAGAATAACACAATAAATCAAATGTATGCATAAGCCCAACACGTGAAGAGTAGTGAAGCACATTCAGTGTCATCGTTGACTTTATAATCTGTATTGCAGATAAACCAGGTAGGGTAAACACAAAGCAGCATAGACTGCACGCAACATCCAGCACATAAACAATAAAAAAGTGACAGTATATTGTTGAACTGTTTGAGGCGGACTCACTAATCACGAGGAATAATTCTGAAGTAGCTCTGCAGGATTAATACAGAAGGAGAAAACAGCCCATTCCAAACAGGCAGGTCTAGAACAACACTGCACTAGACTGATTAGAAGTAAAACTTGCATTACAGAAGATATTGTGAACACATTTCATTATAATTTATACAGCATTTTGCTTGACAGCTCAGACATTTTTCACTTATAGAAGAAAGCACAGGTTATTCCTTCATTCAAGTAGCTTTTTATTGTAGTGGACACCTTTTTAGTAGTGTAATGATTCACTGATTTAAATCAATACTGTCAGTTTCACTTCTCTGATGCTGTGGTATCGATTTTTAAACTGCTCGAGTCTGGCCAGAGCCAGGAGAGGACCTGTGTGCGGCCTT